CTTGCAGATCAGAAGGACAAAAATAAAACCCACGAAATTGGATTTCCTCCTAGAAAACGAAAGTTTGGCCGAACGAAAGAAACCCGCTATACGGTATACATTGCTTTGCTTGCTTAGTCTCACCCCCCAGTTAATGTTTACAACTGTCTAGTTTACCATTATTCATTATACATGTAGAACTCTACTTAACGACAGACAAAACTCCAAAAGCACCAACATTGTGATATATACATGTAGCTCCTCTTAATTCAGTACTACTTACTAATTCAGTAATACTTCGTGAGAACAGAATTTCATTTATAATGTACCATTATTCAATTCTTATAGGGCTCTATAATAAGCCCATCCAAAAATTGTATTTGTACTATTATTAGTCAAAAGGATGGAAGACACTGCAATGATATTATTTAAATAGCTATAAATCTTACTCATATCATTGTGGGTTGCTCTACATTCATTTCCTGTACCACACCCACTTCATAATAGATCTCATGCATGAGTATTGACAATATAACATCAAAATTTATTGTATAAAAATCATCTAGACATAAACATAGCTTTGCTTTCTTAGTCTTGCCCACTTAATGTTTTACATTCGTCTAATTATCACCATTAACACATACAAGAGCTCTACTTCATGGTAGACAAAAGTATCAATATTGTACAAGATGATTTATTGTCAAGGAATTAATATTGGCGATTGGCGGTTCTATAAAAAAATTGCCAATATAAAATCCGTCATTTTGTTTCAATCTGAGCATGCTTAATGGCACGTGGCACAAAATCACTAATTTAATATTCGCCAATTTCATTCCACAGGCAAATCCACTAAATATTTCTCCCGCCAATAAATCATCTTGTACGGTATATTGTAGCTGCTCTTAATTCAGTATTTCTTACTAATAATAAATCGTATAAATCCTCTCTATTCCTCTCAAGAAAATCCTTCTCCCATGCGGTAGGGACCACGTCAGGAGGTGGGAACTGAGGCTGACGTCTCTTCGGTACTTTAGGCCTCACCACAGGCTGCACAGGTACTTCGCTGTTTATCGGAGAACTGGGCGGAGCCTCAGCCGAAAATGAACATGTAGTTACGTGATGTTCAGACCAGGCTATCATCCTACCCAAGACACTCCCACTAACGTTCGGAAGAGGAATAGGCTCGACCAGTTCTTCTTTATCTCCAAGACCTTTCATTATAAAATGAGCAGTTAATATATCCATATATGGACACATAAATTAAACCCAGCCCTTATTTTAGCAGCGATCATAGAAATTTTTTGATTTTTTGTACTAAAAAGTAGCTGATTAGTTGCTATTTACTTTCTATCATTGTTTCCAGAGCTCTAAATATCTTTGCCGTCTCTCTGCTGACCTCGTGTCTCTCCCCGTCCCCGCTGATGAGAATCAGCTTCCCACCCCCAGTCACCTTTGCAGGAGACGCCATCTTGAATGAGTATACAGAGCTGGGCGGAGACTGTACGGAGTTTTACGGAGAAAGCATGGCGGGGAGAGGAGAGCAAGAAGAACTTGCCAAGGCTCAATTCCTCTCTTTGAAGCCGCCATGCGTCTCACTAATGAGAGAGAAGACACTAAAAACTGTCCTTTCTCTAGAGGACGTGCTAAAATCACTCTCTCCCCTCTCTCCTTCTCTTTTAGAATATGTACTCTTTCCGTTACAAATGACACTGCAACAATCAATAGGGTGAGCTTATTCTTTTTATTAATTATTATTTTTGTATTTTTAGGAGTGATACTCATCTGGCTGAAGCCGTATTGAAGTGCATTACGTTTCTTTTTAAATCGAGTCGAGTCACGTCAGATAAACCTTTTTTCGAGTTGCTATCAATTTTTCTCATCATGATCGACAAAGATGAGAAATCCCCTGCAGAACCACGCCTATCGCAATGTACAGCTAGCTATTTATTAATTTATTATTATTATTATTATTATTTTCAGATAAAGGAGCTGCCTTTACTTCGGACGAAATTTTTGAGAGACTCTTAGAAACTTTACAACATCTATTCATCAGGTCCGACCCGAGGTACGTCCCTTGTTGCCATGACTACCGTTGTCATAGCAACCATTCGTAACCCTTCTCCCCTAGTGTGTTGGAATCCTTTTATTCTAACGTGCTCATAGTTGGAAAGAGTGTTTCGCTGATCGTTGAGACGTTAAAAGATTCAAAGTCAATGAGTAGACAGTGTTTATTAAGAGCAGTTCATTGTCTTGTTGGAGTCACTCATGTTGATAGTGAAGGATGGATGGAAAGCATAGGTCTGTAACATTAACTTTAAAATATATACATGTATATATATATTGAAATATAATATTAGTCTTTCTTTTACATATACATGTAGCTTGAGCTTTTTTATAATGATTATTCTTGTCATTTCTTATCTTAATATGCATGTACTTGTACATACTTTATGCCCCCACAAAATTGCTTGATATTACAGTGTACATTTTCCCTTGAAAAAGAACAAACTTATTAACTTAAATATTAACATATAATCCTCTTTATTGTACATGTATATTTTGTAGTTAGTGATTTTCCCAAGTTCTGTTCTGCTACTCTTGGAGTTGGTAAGGGAGAGAAGATCTTATCATCTTTTCTTCCTGGAGTATGTCTGACTTTAAGTGAACTCATCACATCTGACAATCGTATTGGACAAGTTAGAAAATAAATAATAATAACAATAATAATAATAGTAATTATCTATTTTCTTTATTCTCTCTCCTTTTCTCCCTCCTCCCTAGTCTGTCATTTCAGTGAGTAAGCCCCTATCATTAGTCCCTCATTATAGTCCTTACATTACAGTTAGGTCTACTGGCATTAACTCACTTTATTGTGTTGATATTGAATGAGAGCCAATGGGAGAAAAGAGAACTTGGAAATGATGAGAAAAACGGTACAACAATTGCCATTTAGCAATTTTAAAGATCCCTTACTAAATTTTTATACCTATTTCTCTTTCTCTCTCTCTCTCTCCAGTCAGAGATAAAGGGCAATTATTAGTCAGGCAGGATGAAGACTGGTGGAAAATGGCTGATAATAAAATGCAAAAGCTCCTCTCCTCTCTCCTCCTCTCCCTCTCTCGTCACGACAGCTGGAAAGTGAGACTTGCTTTGACCGCCTCCGCAACAAAATTATTAACGTCATGCCAAAAGTACAAAGAAATACATGTACATGTATACGAACTAATATTAATTATTATTACATGTACATTGCGTATTTTTAGATCTCTTCCAGGTTGCTGTGGTCCTGTCATTGAACTATTGGTTACTCTGTCACTCGATACTCAACCAACAGTAGCTGATAATGCTAATACAACAATGGTACGTATTTATTTATTTATTTATTTATTTATTGACACGCATTTATCTATTTACATGTATTTGTTTGTTTGTTTGTTTGTTTATTTTTGAAGGATTTTTTGTCGGCATCAATGAAGTACCCTGGGACCTTAACTTCAATAATGGAGGAGAAACTCTATGACTTATCATCAACACTACCAAGACTAATGAGAGACTCAAGTATATATTATACATCTTAACTGCTACACTGTAGATACTAAATACATGTACATACATGTACTTGTACAATAATTATTATTACTTTTAGGTGAAGAGAAGAAGCTTATTTCTCTCAAGCTGTTGCAAGGTTATCTTAAGTTCCTCAAGTCACAGGTGAGTCATGTGACCTGCTCCTCGGCTCACATGACCAGACTACTTCAAGCACTAGCACAAGTAAAGTTATATTTTTTATATTTTAAATATTATTTATTTTTTATTATTTTCATGTATTTTAATTTTTAATTTTTTCTTTTAGTCCATTCAGTTGGATACTTCAAGGCCTTTATTAATGGAGTCAAAGAGAGGGGGTGTGGTCATTAATCAAGATGAGTACGATTGGACTCCGCCCCTTTCCTTCTCTCATTTAAGAGATTCAGAAACTATAAAATCAATACAAGAGTCTTGTCGCCTTCTTGGTCGCCATGGCAACACGTCGGTCGTCATGGATACGCTCGTGCATACGATTACAGGCTCGGAATCAAATCGTTCGGAATATTTACTGATCCTTCATTGGTTGATGAAGGGGGTGGGGCCTCACGCCTCGTTAAACCTTTTAATTAATGGATTGATTGATGTGTGGGAGGAGATAAGAGGAGATGGACTCTCATTAAACATATCATCAACTTTAGTCTATCAGATCTGCTTCATTAATTTATTAATAGGAGACGTGGCTGTAATTCAAGGTACATGTACATGTACATGTATATCACCTAAATAAACATTTTATTTATTTATTTTATTTATTTATTTATATGTACATGTACATGTATGTGTACATGCATATTACCTAAATATACTATTTATTTATTTATTATTTTTTTATAATTTTGTACATGTATTTATACATGTAAGTTGTAGTATATTTATTATAATTTATTTATTGTTTTTAGGTGTTGATTTTGTTGTTCATTTACAGCACACGTTGGGTATTGTGATGGCTAACATTAGTAGTTCCAATGCTGTCGTATCAAGGACCAGTGTGGGCGTGGCAACTCAGATAGCAGTTTCTACCGGACACAAGTACATACTTGTATTAATAATACTTTAATATTGAAGTACTTATGCTGTGTAGAAAGTTTGAGCTGATTCCGACTTCAATTTTTCAAGTTATGGCCATTTTTTAAAAGTGGCCAAAATCTGAAAAATACCCAAGGCTATAGCCCATGGTTTTTTCCAAAAAATGGCTCCGAAATCACCCCCAATTTTTATTACATTTTCTGATACATATTGATGTACTTATGCTGTGTAGAAAGTTTGAGCTGATTCCGACTTCAATTTTTTGAGTTATGGCCATTTTAAAAAATGAGCCAAAATCTGAAAAATACCCAAGGCTATAGCCCATGGTTTTTTTCAAAAAATGGCTCCAAAATCACCCCAAATTTTTATTACATTTTCTGATACATATTGATGTACTTATGCTGTGTAGAAAGTTTGAGCTGATTCCGACTTCAATTTTTCAAGTTATAAGACAAGAACATCTGAAAAAAATCAGAAATCACCAAAATGTACATGTACACTGTACATAAAGTGTCATATCCTTTTATTAGTAATACTTCATTAAGTGTATGGTACATCTAATCATTATTATATTATTGATCTTTTAGTGACCTACAAGGATTGATAACTGGTTGTGCTGATTATCTTGTGAATGAGGTCCATCATCAGTTGCTCTATTATCCATCAAAGACCATCAGCTGTTACATACTAAGAGCCATCATTGAACACTGGTAGAAGATAATACATGTACATGTATGCACAATAAGATATACAGTCAAACCTGTCTATTCCGGACACTTTGGGACCCAATAATACCCTAGCTCCTGATTATGAACCTGTCCTTATTTCAGAGGTTCATTAATACACATTACTATTGTATTGGGACTGATACTACCTGTCCTCATTATAGAGGTGTCCTTATTTTAGAGTGTCCACAATAGGAGGAGGTTATACTGTACGGCTGATTACAAAATTGTCAAGAGCTTTTTTTGTACATGCACAATTTTTTTGAATTCATTCTAAAATTTGTATGCTAGTTTTATTTTTTCAAATTCTTCAAATATACAAATTTATTGTACATGTATCTTTCCTCCTCTCTCTCTCCCTCCATTAACAGTGATTATGAGTTACTGTCTCTTCTAAAAGACTGCAAGGACACTCTCATTCTCTCCCTCCATCAATCTCCTCTCGACGGCTGGTCTGTCCTCCACTCTCTCTCCAAAAGACTCCCAGACTGGGTTGCCATGGAAACAAAAGGTGTGATAACGAACCCTGTACATGTACATGTAATCTGTACTAGTAGAAGTTGGCGAAAAGAAGCAGGTGGAGAAGGAGGTACAGGTTGAAGATGAGGATGATTCTAAAGATGAGAGAGTCACTTTGGAAGATATTTCGAATTATTTCATGAACTACCACAAGAAGAAGAGAGAGGAAGAGGAGGAGGAGAAAGAAATAGAAGAAAATGATGATGAAGAAGAAGGAGACATTAAAACTAGTAACCTTTACTAATTATAAGTATAATAATCTTCTCCCTCTCTCTCTCCCGCAGATTCAAAAGCTCCTATACCACCTGCTATTCAAGCTTCCATAGATACT